ACCAGATAATTTGTAAAGACAGTTTTGGAGAAATTGTTAAAAGTTTATATTTTAAAGCTAAAAGTAGTTTTAGTATCGTTATATTATGAGTTTTTAAAATAGAAGCTTGAAACTTTTAAAATATATGTAAAATTAAGAGCCGAGCAAGTTTAATTAAGATGTTGAGAGTGGTTGTTTTAGTAAATTAATGTGTTATTAAAGATTTTTGACTGGTGAATTTTTAGTTAAGTTTTGTGTAAGTGATTGATGGAAAGAGTTTTTAGAATATTGAGAAGAATATTTATTCCCATGTTTATATTAACAACCTACAAGTTCTATAAGATCTAATACTAAAATTTACTGTATTAATAATGAGTCTAACAAAGATTTATATAATAGGTTTAACGAACGGTTAGATGATGGATTTGAAGAATAAGTAAAACTTTGTGAAGATATATCAAATATAAGCACTTGTAATTTTATTATTAAGAGTCAAATAAAAATAGATTTTAAAATCTTCATATTTTGCAGAGCAATCTTTTTAAGTTAAAGATTCTATTTTTTAACCATGTTCATATCATTAACCTACAAGTTCTACAAGTTCTAATATTGAAATTGACCATGTTAATTTTGAGTCTGACAAATATTTAGATAATGAGTTTGATGATCAATCAGATTATGGATTTAAAGAACAGATAGAACTTTATAAAAGTATATCAAATATAAGCCTTTATAATCTTGTCTTTAAAAATCAAATAAAGATAAATTTTAAAATCTTCATTTTTGATAGAACAACCATTTAATACTGTTGATGAAGTTTATGCTACAATTGAGGCTTTCACACATTCAAATGGGTTTAGAATTAGAAAGAATCGAGTTGAAAAAGACACAAGTAATAATCGTGAAATTTCAAAAATATTCCTATGCTGCTATACTGGAAAGCTGTTAAAAGAAAAAAAATTATATAAAACAAAAGAATCTGAATTATGTAGAACAGACTATAAATGAAAAGTTAACATATACTGAAGCAAATAGCTTAATAAATATAATATATCTATCTTTACAAACATTTATACTGGTTATACCCCTGATCCGACTACTATAAGATTTATTTCAAAGAATCAGTGATATGTTAAAAGATATTGAATTTTACACCGTTATTGGAAAGCTTAATTCAAGTGCACAATATTAGCTTTTTTCTGGAAAGTACAATATCCTAATTCATTGTCGCAATTTGTATAATATCATTTTAAAATTTAAAAAAATTGATTCTTATATAGATAATAATACATCACAATTATTATCAAAATTATTTAAAAAAAAGAAAAAGATTCAAGATGTGTTATAAAGTAGTGTTTTGACCCAAACACTAATGCATAAACACATCTCTTCTAGATATCTCTCAATCAACTTGATCTTTGGATACGGTATAGCAATATTATTATTTACAATAACACAACAAAAATGAATATTTATAATATGTCACTATCTTTCTTTATTGCAATTGATAATATCTATCAATCTCATCTTATTGTACAAGCAGTTTTAGATGATAAAACAGCTAAGTTATATTTTTGGCTGCTTGAAGTTTTAATTAGGTCTACGGATAGACTTTATCTAAATATTATTTTGACTAATACTGACTCGCTATGACTCTAGCTATTTCAACCATTTTATCCTTAACTAAGCATCTTCATTGTGTTTAGTATATCAGCCAGAATTTACAAAAAAATTTTAAGAGTAAATTAGAAAGTGATTAGGATTCTTTTATTAAAGATTTTTACAAAATATGCAATTTATTGGATCTACAAACTTTTGAAAATTATTTTAAATCTTTATTAGATTGCTATCCAAAAACAGTACAATATCTCTATAAAACTTTATATCCTAATAGCCAATCTTGGACAAGGGTATATATATTTCATCACTTCACCACTAGTGCACAAACAACTAGTCATATAGAATCAATTAATTCATATGTCAAAGATATTATATATTGTGGTCAAATAACTCTGTATGAGCTGTTTAATTTACTTGATTTATTAATTTTCAGTCAAAACTATTATTATGATTTTATTAGCTGGAAATCATCAAACTCTAATATTAAACTACCAAATGTTTGTGATACTATGTATAAAAATATTAATTCTATTCTCAAAACCTTTGTTGTATCTAATTGAATTAAGAAAATTCACTATGAAATAAATCATAACTTATTCTATCATTTAGCTAAAATTAGTTCAGAATCTTTAAATTTATATCAGGTAAATAATTATTCGTTTACAAGTCATCTAATTTATTAATAATATTTTATAAGAAAAATATGGCTATCATAAATGAGCTTGTCAGTGAAATATAATATTAATAATTATTGACTATATCAATATTTTATTTTTTACATTCAATTCTTTCCAACAATTACTTGTATCAACTATTCACCAAATACAATTTGAAGACTCAAGACCAAAAGTCAACACCAACCTTAGGTTTTCTTGATACAAACTATTGTCAACAAAGTCTTTTAATGTGATATACTAAGGAGCAGGTGTTTGGATGGTTCGCATAAGGGTCAAGCCTTTATTCTATTCTTCTTGTCTTGGATAGATTCCCTTGTGTATTTGGTATTCAAACCGGAGAAGTCTCTGAGAACAGCAAGTAAAAAAGAAAGCTAAATTTGTTTGATGATGAAAGGTGGTGAAGAACAATTAGAAAATATTCTTTAGTTAGATACTCGCAATATCTATATTTTTTTTCTCCTTCGATACTTTGGCCATAATTTTTGACAAAAAGTGGAGAATTCAGCAAACCCCCTACCAAAGATTAACAATATTTACTACTTCCATATCAGAAAACTATATAGTAACAAAACAACATGTGTAAAATAGACGGTGCCGGCGAATGAAGTAACTAGATCGGGTACCCGAAAGGTGTACCTCACGTGGCATATCATTTTTAGGATATACAAACATATGTGATATAGATATAGAGCTTCAAAGTTCTTATATACTTTCAGACAACAATATAGATTTATTACAGAAAAAAGAAGCAAAGTGAAGTGAGATATACAGACATTCCTATAGTCATATGTATATAATTTTTATCCTCTAGCACGAGTTATAGTGCATGTTAGTTTTTTCTTTTCTTTTTTCGGCATATCAAGTTTCTTGCAACAAGTCAATATGAGTAGTTCATTACTCTGTATAGATGAAGTTTTTACCTAGTTAGCAGGTTTTCTTTATTCTAGCAATAGTTTCTTTTAGGTTTTTAAATTAGTTTTTAAATTCCTTTTATAGAGGATGGCTAAAGCCAGATGTGTTTATATATTTTTGAATATTTAATTAAAATTAGAGTAAGGGTTGGTTAGAGGTTAAGGTTAGGGTAAGGATTATAGATAAAATTGCCTTCCTGATATTTTTTATTAGTGCCCCGAGATAGGTTTAGATACTCATTTTCTTTATTTTTTGTATTTTTCACTTTTTTTCTTTGTTTTTGTCTCGTCAGGCTGATCCGGGTAAATCAAAATTTATTATTTGATTGGCTGTTAGTCATGTGAACGCATCTGGCTTTAGACGACCCTCTTTTATATTAGTACCAATTTTTGTATATGTATTTGTTTTGTTTTTTCCCTTTTTGTTTTTGTTTAAAAATTTTTTTTTCTTTTTTCCTTTTCTACGAGAAAGTATCATCAGATTGGTAACATTCTATTGTAGAGCGGAAATCTTGACAAAGCTTACAAATCACCAGTCAAGAATTCTGGAGAAAAAAAGTTCAAAGAAAGTTTCAGACCTCTAGAAGAGGCCAAGGGTTTGCTTAGGCAGATCAACTTGAGCATAAAGTATAAGCAGTTTAATAGTTCGCCCTGACTACAAGTGAAAGCTTCGGCAACTGCATGGTTAGCTTAGATAGTTTGGCTGAAGGTTTGAGAATAATAGATTCTGTAATTAGTATGTATCTCATACTATCGAGGTTTTTTTCTCACAAATAAAGCAAACAGAATTGCCTTAGAAACAAAAAAAAATTTTTTATTTTTTATTTTTGTTATAGGTACAAGATAATAATACAATATTTGCCAACAATGCATTTGATTATCTGCTAGCATATTTTTTTGCAATTTTTAACCAAGTTGAAGATCAAGCAGTCAAAGTTTGAAAAGTAATATATATAATATGCAATATTCTCGGCTTCATGTATTTTTGTTGAAGGACAGTTCATTTACATATAGTTGTATGTTATTAACAAATCGTAGATATTCTTGTAGACATTTTTTCAGAGTAATGGCATTTTCTTTGGCTGCAAAATTTTCTATCAATTTTGTAGCAAGTCATTAGTTATATGAGAAATACCAAGATAGAGATCTTGGCACACAACCTCTTGTCAATTTATCTGCAGTTTTTTTATCTAAACTATCAGAAGAACTATCAATCTCAACCACTATATTATGAAATAATAACTCTACAGATTTATTTTTAGCATCATAGTCAAATACAGTTTATCTTTTGCTTCATACTATTAAAAAAATAATGTATAAGAAAAAGACATATGCAGAAACTATTAGAATTGCTCGTAAAGCAATCAATATTGCTATTAAGATAGATGATCCTGATGTGCTTAGATTTTTAAAGAAATATATTACTTGAAAAGGACATTCACTTGTTGAGAATACAACTAGCGTATATATGTTTAAAGAACAATCTAAATCTAATATCCCTGAAACCTCATCTATCAGATCATTTATTGAGAATAAAACTAGTATAAATATACTTAAAAAAAATTTCAAGTCTAATATCTCTAAAACCTTACGCATCAAAGTCTCTAATTCTATAAAAAAAGTTAGAAAAGGTAGACCACCAAAAATGACTCACTATCAATTATCATTAAAGAAACATTCATCAAAAAATCAAAAAAAATAATTTAAATTGATACATGGTCCAGGAATCAATATCTGTGGTGAATTCAAGTTAGTATTCAGATCGAATAATTAGTATCAATTAATTTAAAATTTGAAATTACTACACAAGTATTTTTTAATTTGTTATCATTAAGTCAATCAGTATCTCTTAGATTGTAGACCAACACAGACAAATTTGTTTGTATTGGTACTATAAATATGCTACTAATATATTTTTTTAACAATTTAGAATATTCAAATAAAATTTGATATAATAATATTTGAAAATATAGATTAATTTTTTATAGTATTTATTTTTATATTATAAGAAAAAAAATTTAGATTACTTATAAACCAAAAATATGCAATTTTAAAAATAATTTTAAAAAAAAATATTTTAGTTTATCTATAACAAACCTTTTAAATATTAATTTTAGATCTATAGTTTCTAATACAACTTTATAGTTTGAATAATGGATTATAACTTTAATTATTATAAATCTGGTAATTAACTTGTAAAAATTAATACTTGTCTTAAGAGTGAAA